AGTTGAAATTTAAATTACAAATTGCTCTACAACGTGTAAATTGACTGTGACCTGAATGGGTCTATGTCTGTGTCAATGACGTAAATGACAATTGTTGATTGAATGAATTAGTGGTTTGCTGTTTAACCCAGAGCTTTTTTATGGCTGTATTGAATGTTTGCATAAACTTTGACATATTCCCTTTGCATATACTGAAATGGTTACACGCTTGCAAAGTTTCACGCCACTGCCTTCCTCATAATATTATAGCAGCTTCTAGCCTATTAGAAATATAATGTATCTCTGCACGTTTGCACTATCACTATATAACACGTATAACAAGTTCTTCGTCTTGATCTTTTGAACAATTCTGAATGTTTCAAGGTAATACGATCAGTTCTTCTGATTGAGTGTTCTGTTGCATAACGATATTTAGTTGCGACGGGTCCATTATGAAACAGTGTATTGTCTCGCTCCTTGAGCTCTGTGCTTGGTTACGTCAGTTCCTTATTTCGACTGTTCAATGCAAATAATGGGTCATAAATCGGCTTTGTTTCCTGACCATCGCTCATTTTTTTTTGACGCAGTCCTTAGTTTATTCATGTATTGATGGAACTCAATTTACGAGGTTTTTTTGCGTCTGTTCATACAGTTACGTCACACCTCTTGTAATACGTTGTTGTACATCTCAGCCACGTGAAATATTTTATAAAAACTATTTACTTGGTTAATTCATACTTCTCATTTACACAGTTTGCAGATAGTTCAAGGTGGACGCTGTTTTAAAACGTCTTGAAGATATCGTAACGAAACCCTTCATACGATTTTGTTAATATTTATATTTTATAGAGGTAAATAACCTAGTAGGTGATTCGTAAGAATGTAGTCCTATCGATTGGCGTGGAAACGCGGATTCATTGTCGGCGTCATCTCAGTGTGTCAACCGTTAGGCCTGGAACTGCATCTGTCTTGTCTTCATCGTAACAAGTCACTTTGTCTACTACGTGCACGTTGCGGTGTTATAGTAAATGACTTGAGAAACTTTCTTGAATACGCTTTAAGATTTGTTGATATAAGAGTTGTTTATTTGTAAGCAGTTTGAGCGGAAGATAATTATGAATTTGCAAACAAAACCGTATGGAGTGAGTGTGATTAGATATTCTGAAGGAAGTAAAGATTTTTTTTCTTCAAATTCATTGCAAATTCTACGGTCCAATTAATAATAAATACCAATACTAAAATTAATTGATTGTGCTATTCCTCAACATTTCTACAAGTCGTCATGAAGCCCAAATTTTGCATTCCGACCATCAGGTCGGTAGGTCGGTCGATAGGTAGGTATCATAGGTTGATACCTGATGATAGATAACTGAGGGCCGCCATGTCAAGTCTGTGGGAAAATGTAAAATGTACAGAACTAATTAAATTTTTATTGAATTGATATTCAATTATTTTTTGTGAAATTACTCCACTAGTTTGTTATAATTATTAATACAAAGATCGAACACTCAGAAAAAACACTCAGAAAAATTCCTTCGATCCGGTCGGATTCGAACCGACGTCTTCTTGCATACCGTGCCAGACGCTATACCAACTAAGCCACGGAACGAACCAACCGACCTCACGAATTTTTCTATGTGCTTGCGTCGTGTCTTTGTACTTGGTCTTTCAACGACTTTTTAATCGTAGGGCCATCTATGAGAAGTCTATTGCAGATTTATCACCCAGTTAGTACCTTTACAGCTACCAGTCCTGGCGAGAGATGTCGCTATTCGCTGTATTAATTAAATTTTTTTGAATTGATATTCAATTATTTTTTTGTGAAATTACTCCACTAGTTTGTTATAATTATTAATACAAAGATCGAACACTCAGAAAAAACACTAATTATATGAAATATAATATAATAAAAAATCTAATTATATGTATCTATATTGAATTTACAAAACATATTACCCATTACGTCCCCTGAAATTAACGCAACCTACGTTGCAATTTCAAGCAGCACAAAATTCGCAACACAGGGCAAGTCGTAATTTCATCCAGCTTGTACGTAATTGACTGACCTAATATTTTCCATACGCTCTTGTATGCATCCATCCACATATCGGGATGCAATGTGCACCGGTGTGTAAGCGTATCGGTCGGACGCGCGCCATTGCGTGTGCGCACAAATTGAAGATGAATTAATAAACTCTCCACTTTTATTGCTATCTCTAGATAGAGCATTTCTATTAATTTCCATAAAACATTATGTATATTTTTTTCTGGTATCGTAAAAATCTTTGAAAGTACTTATCAACAAAAATGTCATTTCCACAAATTCTCCAACAATTATGAATAATCAGCGTCAGTATTGCTTTAAAACATCTATAATTTCCAAAAAAAATTTTTATTCATGCTGTGAATTTGTTTTTCTTCTACAAATAACTATCACAAGTTAGCAAATGGGTGCTTGCTTATAATTGCCTTGCTCTTCTTATTGTATAAATTAAAGAACTGCTTATTGATTAGATTTACTTCGTCGTGTGAAATAATTCCAAACAATTAACATTATACAAGTCACGAATCTCGATTGCCAAGAAACATTCAATCGCATGTCGCACAAATAATTGCAATATAGCGTTGTGTATCAATGTCAAATAATTAAGAGATCGTGTTCACTCATGTCGCATGGATATGTCAACGTGCACCTTACTCAACTCGATTTGCTAATAAGGTTTCGTAATTGCCGCTCCCTGTGTACGATGAGGCAAATAACGAACATAAGTACATACACAATCACACAAACGAATCGGAATCCACCTGGAAGATCCTACACTATCGAGTTCATAGGTTTTCGCGATTGTTACACATATGAAAAGGAACTATTTTTTCGGATATAAATTGCGTGTATTTGTATTTTCGACAGTGCAAACAGTACGAACAGAGGGGCATATCAGGGTCCGAAACGTTGGTTTGTTTGTAAAAACAAATATACGCGATTCAAAGCCAAAAAAATCGTTCTATTTCCTATGTGAAACCTGCACTATTTATTATTATAATTTCCTATTCTTATTAACAGTAAAGAATATTATCTATTAACAAGTTTAATTACTTAGGAAGGTCCTGAATTACTAGCTTAGAAGTCAAAACCATACCTTGGGAGACTGAAAACTTTTATACAAATAAGGTATTGTTATAAGTACGAGTTAACTAAGTCATGTTAAATAAAGTTTTCTGTAGCAGTAGAGCTCCTTGTGAAAGAGTTTGTCCAGGGAATTACGGCCACCTTACCTATTTCTGCCGCCAAGCAGTAATGTCAGCATTACTGCGTTTCAGTTTTGAAGGGTTAAGGGTGCTGGTGAAATTACAGGCACATGGGACTTGTCAACTTATGTCTCAGGGTGAGGGGTGCAGTGGCAATGCCCCTCAGATCTTTGTGATTTCAAGCTCTAAGGGGCACTGCAACTGTTATGGATAGGCGTGTCGCTTACTATCAGGCGCACGACTTGTTCGTCCCGTCACTTGATATTATAAAAAAAAACAACAACCTACGGTGTCAAATTTCATAGATACAGTACTCTAAAATGTACACTTATATCAACTTTTTTGTAAAACTTTTACCTTAAAGTCTTATACTAAACGCCTACTTCAACGTTTTGTCACACTAAATATTGTTATGGGACAAATAAACATACATAGTTATAGTAAGTAACCGCTGTGACAAAACTTCAGTGTGTATGTATATTTTGTCACAGTTTTAGCATACTAGGTAGCTGAACAGTTAAATTCCTTTCTTCATTCTTGCAAGTACTTGCAAAATACATGGTTTCCGTAATAGTTAAGCAAATAAATTCTTTAAGTAAGTAAGTTTGTTATAAACATCGCAAATATTTACACTTAGCAAGAGTGATTAACGTAAAGGTTAAACAAATAGCTATATTTTTATGAAACATGTAGTCACGGTTTCACAATCTGCATAAAATACGATTAAGTAATATAGTGAATTAAATGTATTATTCGACCTAATTACATGCTTAGCTTTTTAACCTATCGAATCACACATAATCTTTCCAAAGTCTACTTCACCCTTATTGCACGCTTGTAAGTTCAACAAGTTACTAGAAACTGTGCTAGTCTTCCATTTTTGTTCATTTTGTGTGTAGCAACTATTAAACCCTTTTCTAGATATCAACGCCGCAGTTAAAGAGGAAGTAATTTTCAACAGGACCAAATTTGTTCAAAGAGGATGCATATTTCGCCCTAACGACTCTCATACCATACTCAACCTCTTTCTACAAATTCGAGCATAGAATTCTCGTTTGTGAGGTGACTTATGTAGAATATAATTAGTGCGAAGTAAAATATTTATTTGCGTCTGAAAATAAAGAGATATCAATTCTTAGTTAACTGCCTTTAGAGGTCATTAAAAAAATAAGTGCAAGTCACATCATTACCGTCAAAATATAAACTGTTCAATACCAAGTCATTGATATTAAATACACAGTTCTCACGTGTTACCGCAACTTTTTTCTTGGAAATCTTTTCGAAACTTTTTTGCTACTTTTGTCGCGCTTGCTCTTATACATTCGTTCATATTCTTATTCTTTTCACACCCTTGTAATTTATGCCCGGTTCATTCCCCCAATCGCATCTCTTCCCGAAAGTGCCATTGGTTAAATTCCATTTTTAAAAGAGTCAGCGGATACGTTGTCTCCGGCGTTGTCACCACTACGCCATTGAAACGGTCCACTTTATGAGTAGATTCCATTTCATTTTACCGCTTGATTGGGTTCCGACGGAAACGGGATTTTGTTAACGGAAAAGGGCTTGGGATTTTAGTCTAATTTTTGTATCAGCTCTGTGTGTATAGCAGTCAGTCTATTATTCTCGCGCGTTGCGCGTGCGCAGCTGCGTGTTTAGTTGCGTTCGCAGCATGATCAAGAATAACCGTCGCGGCAGTTCCCGCCTGGAAGTTCTCGTTAATTCAAATTGTCCCTTAAACTCGTAAACGGTCAAGTTGTGTAACGTCTCGCGCCATTCTCAGAATTAGTTTAGTTACGCCTATCGCGACGAACACATATTTATGAATCGAATTTTAAACTTCTGCCGCTTAGTATTCTACACTCGCGTGTGTAATTCGTATTCGACTATTTTGGCACATAGCGATGGTTCTTATCGCTGACGAAACATTTGCTTACCACGATAATTGATAAGCAAACTAACAAAGTGGTAATCTGTGACAAGGGCTGGGAAAACAGAAAAAATAGAGTCGGCTATTCTATAATTAAGCTAAGTTTGATGTGCGGACGTAGTTTTGTCTTTTTGTAAGTCATTAAGTGTAGTTTTAGATAGATACAGTGCGTATGAGTGATGCGTCTGCGCCGGTGCAAGTGTAACGTTGAACCTATTTTCGTGCACGGAAATAAGAGCGGCAAAAGGAGCAAAAAGGCAGCCTGAGTGAAAAACTTGAGGACGTAGTGCCGGGTGTATTTCTGTCTGTTGTGGACTAATGTAGACAACTGTTGGGTGATTCAGTGCATCGGCGTAAGAACTAGTTGAGAAAATGAAGAAGAGAACGATATCTAAATTAAAATCCATCTTTAGCTCCAAGAAAGGTGAATATTTATTTCTTTAGTCAAGTAGTCTTGAAAATGTGTTTCGTAATGTGACAAAATTTAAACGTTCACGTCTTTATAAAATATTCAACAGGTGTATATTCAAATATTCAATTGTTTTAGCAATATAATGAATATGTTTACTCAGTAATAATGAAAATGATATTACTGTAACCGTTACTGTAATTTATGCCACAATTATCAGACGTTGAAGGAGTTGGTCACGTGCTACTGTTTGTAGTTTGTGTTCTTTTCATCTTAAGTTTTAAATAAAATAAATTGCCAAATTGAATGGAAATTCACGAATTAATTTAAACCGCTTCTGTTCAATGGAATTAATTTGTTTTTATAGTACCTAAACAAGTTTTGTTTTCTTGACCTTTGCCGTTGCTTATATCGAAATTCGCTCCGAAACATTCATTTTTATCATTCATAATCTATCGATAATGTTAAGTTACGAAAAAACTATGCTTTTAACGTTCGTGCAAACTTTTCGTTTCGACTGTCTTTTCATTAGTAAAAAATTTTAACACATTCTTTTGTTTTTTGATATAAAATATTGCTTTAAAGATTGTAACTGAAAATTCGAGTAATGCAATGTCTGCAACCTAATTAAAATTATTGGCGTGCTTCTTATTCGAAGAATGCAATGTCACAACAGTTACGCTGCATTTCTTCACGCACCTGCGCACCTGGACTATGCAGAGACCTTTTTGCAATGTCCTACACTTTCTATGACATGTGACATGAGATTTTTGATAAAACCATAAAAAAAGTCTGTAATACTATCTGTGCATGCTTGTACAAGAAACTCTATTTCTCATTCATTCGTATCTTGTTCTCCTTCACCCCTGACCTGTGTTGTTATACAGGCGATAAAGTTTACTATTTTTGACTTATCTATTTCTTTCTTTTGCCATTCACCGTACAGAATAATTTCAAATTCATTTTACTGACACTTAAATTCGTTTTTCACCTATAGACATATGCTCTGGTTTTTTTAAACGCAGCTGATCCCTGAGAGCAGCTGCGCGGGCTTCTCTGTTAATAATAACATGGCGTAACTCTGATTTTAAAAAGGTCCATAAATTTCAGAAGGGTGCCAGTCTACTAGTTGCGTTATTTATCGACACACTTTTTATTTCCTGGCACTTATTTGTTAATTTTTTATGGCTATGTCATCTTCTTGTGGTCGCCAGTTATAATAATTAACATGTTAGGTTTGCCGCTAAAAACCCATATTTACTTACATTGCACAGTTTTTGATGATTTCGGTTCTCATAGTAAGTAGCAGGTTTTTTTTATGATATCAAGCGACGGACGGGATCAACAAGGCGCACGCCTGGTGTTCGCTTACCACCATTACACTTGCAGTGCCATTCAGAGCTTTAACTCGCAAATATCTGAGGGGCACCTCGACTACGCCCGTCACCTCGAGACATAAATTGACAAGTCCCATGTGCCTGTAATATACCAACACTTTTACTTACCCTTTACTGCTTGGCGGCAGAAATAAGTAAGGTGGCAGTACTTCCCTGGACGAACTTTTTCGCAAAGAGTTCTACTGCTGCTGATGAGATAAGATTCTAATTTGAAACCGATATGTTCTATGTACACCATGCTTTGATAAACTTAATTTCAGTGTGTTTCTTGGAGCGTTGTTACATTTTGGATGTTTACAATTATGGTAATACCTCGTGATAACCACCCTGCTTCTTCACCAAATAATGCTCTCTGTGTAGAAACAAATTCAATCCTACACAAATGCAGTGCGAGTGCGCGAGCACTGTTAGCAAACCCTTTAGTACAAAATACCTAGTAGCTAATCTAGTACCTGATCTATCGGCATTCCAATCATATAACAATCTACCCAATTCGGGTATTGTCGGTCGAATAGCCAAAACGACGAACTTTCTAATCGACAATTTCACTTATGATACTAATAAAAGTTATAAACGCTACGCTACCGCTAATAAAACATTTAATGTTGTTTATATTGTTATATACAGTCGTTGCAATAGCAAATAGCAGATGCAATAGCATCTGTCGTCATATAAGACTTTAAACGCCTAGTTCATTTGTACAATTTTCTACCTCCTTTGGGAGGTAAACCCTACCATAAAGTATTAGATCTATTTTTCTGGTGTTATTTTCTTTTTTATGCTACCGAGAGGCGGGACAATCAAGTCGTGCGCCTAGTGGTAAGCGAGACGACTGCCCACAGCGGTAGCAGTGCTATTGCCACTCAGAGCTTTAAATGGCAAAGATCTGAAAGGGACATTGCCACTGCACCCGTCACCTTGAGATATCCCTGGACGAACTCTTTCACAAGGAGCTCTACTGCTACTGAAACTGAATTTCATCACCACCTTGTCAATGGCAATACAGTACGCAATCTTAGCTATCCTAGTCCAAGAGGAAAGGTCGAAATGTGGTTTTCTATGCTTCATTCCGTTATAAATAACTTGCGATGAATTTCGGCCCATCTTAGATTTTTCTTGAAATTTATATTAACTTTGGAGTCAGATCAGTTAAACAGACACATTTTTTTGGTTAAGAAATTTCTGTTATACTCACATTATTGCGTTCCAGTTTTGAAGGGTAAGGGTGCTGGTGAAATTACAGGCACATGAGACTTATCAACATGAGTCTCAGGGTGAGGGGCGCAGTAACAGTGTCCTTCAGATCCTTGTGGCTTAAAGCTCTGAATGGACACTGTTATGGACAGGCGTGTCGCCTACCATTATGCACACTACTTGTTCGTCCCGTCACTTGGTGCCATAAAAAAAAAACTATTCGGTCAGTCTCGTGTTCACTACCTAATTGCCGTGGCAATTTATATGATTTGTGTATTCAATTTTTTATCGTGCAATATTATTTAATATTCTACTATTGTGTCGTGAAATATTATTTAGTAATTACACGTTATATACTTGAATATTTAAATAATAAAAATTTCCACGGAAATTAGGTAGTGAACATTTGTCCGAGAATGACCGAATTAAGCCATCGATAAAACATAATTTACCACAATAACTATGAAAATAAACGACGATTATATTATTTGAAATTAAAACAAATTATCTTCAGTAGAATTTAAACCTGTTTGTTACAAAACCAATCGTGTTCTCAAATATTATTTACTCAGCTCATTTACATTACTACATGTATAAATAATTCTTAGTTACAAGACAGTTTCCACTTTGAACCTCTATAGAGAAGACGATGTACAAAAATTTATAAACATAATTAAATTAAATTGTACGAGTTATTTAGTGCTCGAAAACGGATGTGTAACATTAAACTTCATTAGTGAACAAAGACATTCGATACAAATTTGTTGTTAATGATGTAATTAATTTAAAATAAATGAATCTTATTTTTTGTCGTATAGAAGTTAGTAGGCTATTGGCTATGATTCAAGTTACCTAGAGTTTGCAAGAATAATAGTACTTTTGTGTTTCTTCCGAGTTATATTTCTTTTGTGCCTGTAGTTATAATAAAAAGAATAAGTATAAAAAGTTTATTGAACTCTGTGATATGCTGTAGAAAATAAAAAAACAAACTATAATATATAAAATAAAATTTAATAAATAAATTATATTTTCACTTAAATATTCGCTAGTGTTAGTATTCTTTTTGTTGATATGTGGATCTAGATAGCCTAGTCTGCGGGTTAGCATAATTCACTAACTGATAAGTGCCTGGTTATTGGATTTCTAGTGCTGTACTCATGCGCAAGCCAGTGTGTTCAGTGTACAATTTAACGCCGCACATGTTGCATGTTTCAGTGTGAAATTTTTGTTTTTGTATTTTGTCGTGAACAATGCCTTGCGGCATTCGTTTTTATCGCTGGCGAGGTGAGAGAACCTTAAATGTATTCGTTTTTCATATCATTAGTAGTATTCAGACTTTAAACTTTTCATTTAAAAAATTAAAGTTCATTTCAATCATAACCAGCACTAGCGCGTTGCAATCGTGTATAGTCATTACATTAAATCTCTTCTTAGCCATTGTATTATGTAAGTATTTTTTATGCGTAAACAAATGTTTTAACTGGTGTATCTTTTTCATTACGCGTTATATCTTCGCAACTATATCAATATAATAATCGCAACTCGAAACCTGCTGTATCAACCCATATGTTTCCCAATCCTCTCTAAACACGCCTACGTAATAAGCATTGTTTTAAATTGACAACTCTTTGATGAACAACTCATGTCCAAGTCAATCTCACCTCACGTTTTGTTATCATTGCTTTATAACAAATCATAGCTGCGACACTTACATAATATGATAACATGTTTAAATTCTCAAAATAAACCCAATATCTCAATATATATTTTTAAGTTACTCAAGACTCAATTGTAGCCATCATTAAGTTGATTATTACATCTACAATTTTAATAGGCTTTGTTTTTGTCGTATCTCCTTGTGTCATTATTCATTTCCACCTGTCCGTTCCACGTCTCATTTTGCACTGTTTGATCATCATACTGCCTGATGCGTCTTGTAAGCTAAGCCATTTGCTGATAACCGTGATGTAACAGTTGTCAAAATTCCATAAATCCATTATTTGAAATATTAAATACCAAAACTGACTAAGTTTCAATTTTATGCAACATCTAGTGACAGTTTCTATACTTATTCGAGACTTGCATGGGGGATCAAGCTTGGTTTTCTCTCTTAAATATTTATTTCACAAAACTCGATGTCTTACCTAATGTACTGTCGCACTCAATGTAATATATGTTTTCTGCTTGCTTGTTCCTATTAAAAATACCAAATGTTACTAGTATTTAACTAGTAACGTTTGTGTGTAATACTATAATATTGAGATGCATCTGATCTATTAAAACCGTTTCCGTGAAACCCATGAGAAATAACGAACTCGTGACATTTCTTCTCTTAGCGTAATGCATAAGTTGATATAATCTTTTCTCTTTACTAAAATGTCTTCATAACATGTTTTCTGTACACAGTTGTTTGAAATTTTTATT